TATATATATATAATATCATCCTGATCTCTTCTCATCTTTTTTGTGTTTGCTACTCTCTTGTTGTAACACACCCCTTATCTCATATATGACCTTTTTGTGTTGCCAAGTGCTGTAAAACTCTTACTAAAGCCAAAACCCTCCCTGACCTGATCCGTGTCCTCCTGTTGTCCCACAACTGCCTCATTATTCTTCTCGTGTTGCGAACGTCAGTAATTTTTCTGATAAATTTGTCATCTTTTCAGCCATCATTTCACCATCTGCATTACTGTTATTGACTTGCATCTTTATTGTCTTCATCCACATTTTTTTTTTCTTTTCTTTATATATATATATAAGTTAAAAAATTCAGATAATTCCAGAGGAATGCTGCGGGTCGGGTGGTTGAAGGGCGCCTCTGGTAGGCTCTACTTCTTTACTTCCCCTCTGTTGTTTCTGTCTGTGTGTCTGTCTTACTTTTGCCCAGCACTTAATGACTATTTCTGTGTCTGATGTGCGTCTGTTCACTCAACAAACCGGAAGAGTCCTCTTTCCTGTTGACTCCCTTTCCCCTCCCTCTTCCTCCTCCCCTCCCCCCTCCCCCTACCCTTCCACTTCCCCTCCCTCCCTCCTCCTCCTCCTTCTTCTTGCAGTAGGTTGTCATGCTCTACCTTCCTTATTTTCCAGGAACGCTACCTGAAAAAACATCATGTCGCGGTGGCGCAGTACAGGATTGAAATGGCTGAGTTTGTGTAAGTTGGTTGTTTTCTCACTTTGTACAGCTTACATGCACTCATGCATGTGCACACGCACACAGATAAGCACACACACAAATTCATATGCACTCGTGCACAAATACACACATACACACAGACTAAAGCACATTTCTAGCGTGTGGATAAATGTAGTTTTTGAATGTGGTTAATATGGCAGTCCAGTAGAAGGGGGGCGTGGCACATAACAAATTGGGAACAGAAGAATGTTTCTGAAGGAATGTCTGTCTCTCTGAGGGTGGTTGGAGGGCGGTCCTACTTTTTTACCTTCCCTCTATTGTTTTTATGCGTCTTTGTCTTTGTCTTTTTTCATTGACCCCTTGTGACTGTGACTGCTATTGTACTGATGTGCTTCTATTTACTCAGACTCCACTTCTCTCTCTCTCACACACACACACTCTCACTCTCTGTGTCTCTCTTTCTCACACACACACACTCTTTCTCTCTCTCTCTCCCCCTCTCACACACACTCTCTCTCTCACTCTCACTCTCTCACACACACACACACACTTTCACTCTCTGTGTCTCTCTTTCTCTCTCACACACACACTCTCACTCTCTGTGTCTCTCTTTCTCTCTCACACACACACTCTCACTCTCTGTGTCTCTCTTTCTCTCTCACACACACACTCTTTCTCTCTCTCTCTCCCCCTCTCACACACACTCTCTCTCTCACTCTCACTCTCTCTCACACACACACTCTCTCACACACACACACACTCTCTCACACACACTCTCTCTCTCTCTCTCTCTCTCTCTCTCTCTCTCTCTCTCTCTCTCTCTC